GCTGTGACCCTCCCCACGTCTACTGCAGAACCACGTCCCCCCTGCTGGGACCATCCCGTCTACTGCAGAACCATGTCCCTCCTGCTGTGACCATCCCCACGTCTACTGTAGAACCACGTCCCTCCTGCTGTGACCATCCCCATGTCTACTGCAGAACCACGTCCCTCCTGCTGTGACCATCCTGTCTGCTGCAGAAATGCTTCTGTTGGGATGAAGGGCGGGACCCACGCCTCTCCGAGAGGGCTGGACAGAGACCCAGCTCTGCAGCTCTCGGGCAATCCAAAACATCCCAAGGCCTGGAGCCTGTGAGGTCCGAGGGCTTTGGACAGCAGGCGACCTCTGGCAGGTGAGTTCACCACACAGTGGGTGGGAGGGCAGGCAGGGCGGGTGGGTCACTGCTGGGCGACCAGGAGGTGAGCTGGGAGCAGGGTCCCCCACGCCCCATGGCACGGCCTCTGCGTCCGCCCAGGCCCAGCACGTGCCCAGCTCCCGGGCTGCTCTCTGTACAGGGTCTGCTTTGCAGGCTCTGACCAGGCCAGTTTTTGCAGGACTTCACTCCAAATGCCAGCCTGCTCCCCAGCCAGAAACACATGACGGGGGACATTCACTGGTCTGGTGAGCGGGATATGGCCCCATCAGCACCACCATTTGGGGGTCTCCTCATGCTTTTCAGACTGGCGACGTTGCTCACTTACTGTGGAACACCCTAGCTCAGCAGTGACCAAGACCAGCTGCGGGGGACTGGCTGCTTCTCAGAGAAGCCCTTGCTGGAAGCCAGGAGGGGCCTAGGCACACAGGAGGGCGGGCGGGGGTACCAGCACCTTAACTCCACATTGAAATCTGCAGGGATGGCCGTGTCGCTGCAAAACCTCTCTCCTCTCTTCCCTATTGCTCCTCTTTTCCTTCCTTCAGTCTCCAAAAAAGGAGAAGGAAACTTCAAGATGGGGGAAACCCTGCCCAGGAAACATGACTCTCTCCAGAGCAAGCACAGCCAGGCCGCTGGGTCCGTGGGGCGGCCACCGTTATAAGGAATCACCCGCAGGGCTGTGGTCACCACCATCTTCGCGCACCTGACAGCGGCGTGGCACCCAGCTCACTGTGTTTCTGACAGGACGTGATCAAGCTTACGGGACACGTAACGCGGCATCGCTAAGGAGTGAAAGGAAAGGAGTCCCGCTGAAAGCCCCGCGGCCATATCCTGAGAATTTTGCTCCAAAGAATTTCGTTAATTCTGTTCTGCCCGGAAGTGTCACCAGCACAGCAAATATTCTGAGGGCAACGTCTGTAAGCTAAGCATCGATGCTGGCAAGAAGGAACTCACGAGTGAGGATGAGGACGCATGTGACCAAAGACGACAGCTTCACCACACAGACCCGCCCGGGGCTTCTGAAGCGCAACACGGTGGCGTCCCGAGCTGGACTCCCGTTAGGAGCCCACGCCCCTGTGCTGGGAGGGAGGTTCCGCAGCGTCCCTGGGCTCCAGCCCCAGATGCTAAGGGCCTCCCTTCTCTCGGTTCTAACCAGAAGCCGACCTGGACTTGGTGAACATCCCCTGGGGCAAAATTACCCCTGTTGAGAATCCCCAAATTTTGTGAACAAATGGAGCCATCTGTAGACCTCAAACCGAAATGCTGCCCAGGGCCACAGTGAGTCACCGGTAACAGAGGGTGTGGCTGGACAGGGAACAGATGCTCACTCCCAGGCGTCCTCAGCCTCTGACGGCTTTAGGACAGTGACCCAGGTCGAGTCGCCTCACGCCCTCGCTTCCTGAGGACACCACCAGCCGCTGTTCTTCTACGGTCAAGAGCCCAGTTCAGACCTAAGTCCAAGCCTTCTCAGGATCCACCCCATTTGGCCATCAGTAAACAGGGCTCTGGAGAAGACAGCCGCTGTGTTCTCATCTCCACCCCCTCCCTTTGGGGTCCACAGAGGGACCCTCAGCGGCTTTCTCTCCCCTGCCCCAGCTCCCAAGCGGCTGCAGCCTTTGCCAAGGTGACCTCAGCTAGCCGGCATCACGTGCTCATCATGAGATTAGAACCACAGCATCCTCAAGACAGCCTCGCTCCCGGGAGCTGAGCATCAGACCGGACCGAGGACACACGCACGCACTTACCAAGGTGGCCGTGCCCGGCGGACAGGAGGCTCAACGAACCACACGCTCCGGTTCTTTCTCAGACACTGTAATCATTTAACTCAAGGCCCAGCACGGTAGCTCATCCCTGAACCCCCAGTGCTTTGAGAGGCCAAGATAGGAGGACTGCTTGAAGCAGAGTCTGAGACCAGCCTGGGCAACACAGGGAGGCTGTCTCTACATGAATACAAAAGACTAGCTGGGCATGGTGGCACGCACCTTTAGTCTCAGCCACTCAGGAGGCTGAGGTGGGAGGATCACCTGAGCCTGGGAGGTGGAGGCTGCACTGAATCATGATTGTGCCACAGCACTCCAGCCTGGGAAATAGAGTGAGGCCCTGTCTCCAAAAAAAAAAAAAAAAAAAACAAACAAACAAAAAACTGTTTAGCCTAGCTTTGAGAAACTTGAATGAACAACCGAATTTTTTAAAAAATTGAATAAAAAAATCAATCCCACAATCCCCCTAAGAAAAGTAAGAGTGGGTGGGACCCATCCTTTTTGGGGTGTTTTTGCCCCACGTACTTTAGTTTTCAAATTTTGACCCTACACATTTGTTATATATTTATAATCTAAAAAAAAGTTATTTACAGCAGAGGACTCTGGAATTAAAAAGAGATTGTTTTCTTCATGCCTGAAAGTACCCATCACATATCACAAGGATCTATGCTTTGTGTGGAAATAAACTTGGAAATAAAAAGTCACAGGGAGGTCAACACCAGCCTTGTCCTCCATCTTCAGATCTGCCCACTAAATGCAGTGACAGCTCTCAAATTCTCCACCCATCCTCTTTGGGCAAGTTCCAATTAGGTAACAATTAGGGAAAAAGGACGCTTCCATCCCTCGCATTACACACTCAACTTTCACAGACCCAAAAATCGAGCTAAGACCGGTAAAAAAAAAAAAGCAGCCGAAGCAATGATGGAATCCACCCTGTGAAAGACGCTCATCTTCACATTCACAGCAGGAAGGTCAGCCCAGAGCTGGGCTGGCCCGGCAGCAGCAAACCGCGCGACCCATCACCAGGAGAGCAGAAGCCATGTCTAGGTCAAAGATTAGTGATTGCAAAAAAGAGGGTGAAAGTGGCCCCCAAAGCCAGTGAATACAGGAAGCCCTGGGCAACTTTCTTTCATAAAGAAAGTGAAGACAGTTTAAGATGCTCAGAAAAGCAAGAAATGAGTGCTAAGCATTACTTACCATGTGAGTTGTATTTTAAAAGCTTAGTTTTTTATTTACCAGTGCTAGAAATAAGTTTCACGCCAAAGGTTTCAGAAAAAAAGAACTTTGAAAAATATTCATGCAAACCCAAGTCTCAGAAGAAAATACTTGAGACATGCTGAGAAATTTCAGACATCAAATTTTTAAAAAACGAAATGCTTTCTTTGTTAGATATAGATCTTCAAACTCACACATGAATTACTAAGTGTGACTCACAAACATGGTAATAGGGGTATATTTCTTTTAGCCTGGCATGGTGGCACACACCTGTGGTCCCAGGTACTTGGAAGACTGAGGTAGGAGGATCACCTGAGCCCAGGAGGTTGAGGGTGCAGTGAGCTGAGATCACACCACTGCACTCAAGCCTGGGTGACAGTGTCAGACCCTGTGCCTCAAAAAAAAAAAAAAAAAAAAAAATTATATATTTCTGTTTTAATATCATTTCTTGGCAGAAAAGAAAGAAAAGAAAAGAAGAGAAAAGAAAGAGAAAACCAACTAAACTAGCCCAATACTGCCTTAGATGTAATTTAACATCCTCAATTTATAAAGGGGAAAGTGAGGTCAACAGCCAAGATCAAAGAGGTAAAATGCAACCATGCATTCAGGACAATGAATAAAATTATAAAATATTCAGTTCCATTTCTACCCTCAGCATCAAGGCAGGGGTTCATCACAGCAGGTATTGGAAGCACAAAGGAAATTTAGGCCCAGCACAGAAACATACAAAATGCAGAGCAAGTTTTAATGCTGGGCCATCTCTGGAGACAGCACCCAGTGCTCCTCCGGGCTGCAGGTGCTCACGGGCACTCCCTGAGTCTCAGCCACACTACATGCCCCTGGTGGCCAGACAGAAGAAGAGGTGGTAAAGCTTTTGGGAATGAGATCAAACATTTTCAGTCTAGAAAAGATCCTTTTCTAGGTGGGAAAAAAAGAATGAGAAGCTCTCATTCAGGTTATTTGTATGTATTTTTTTGAGACGGAGTCTTGCTCTGTCGTCAGGCTGCAGTGCAGTGGTATGATCTCGGCTCACTGCAACCTCTGCCTCCTGGATTCAAGTGACTCTCCTGCCTCAGCTTCCTGAGTAGCTAGGACTATAGGCTTGAGCCACCATGCCCAGCTAATTTTTTTTGTATTTTTAGTAGAGACAGGGTTTCACCTTGTTGGTCAGGCTGGTCTCGAACTCCTGACCTTGTGATTCACCTGCCGCAGCCTCCCAAAGTGCTGGGATTACAGGTGTAAAGCCACCACACCCGGCATTCAGGGTATTTGTAAAAGGCCGTTTCTAGCACACTGGTAGATAAAAAGGGCTGGGGCCCTGGGGTTAGCATCAGCCAGCGCCAGCCTCGTGGTGCGTGCACAGACTTACGTCGGTGATAGTATTCAGAGCTGTGTCTGCCCCGATGCTGAAATCGGAACCGGGCACATTGTTGGACACAGTGGCGGGAACCATGACCATGGGGACACAGAATTCCTCGTGCTTCTCCCGGGCGGCTGACAGCTCCAGGAGTCCCAGGTAGGCCTGTCAGACAAGCGTGGGAATTGTGGGGCGAGAGGGAAGCGGGGGAGGCGGGTCTTGCTGGGAGAGCCTCCGGCACAGCACACAGGGAGCACACTGGGGTGGTGTGAAGCCAACAAGATCAACAAAGTCGCGTTAAGACCACACACGAGGACCAGCAGGTTCTAGGCACGAAGGGAGCAGGACACGATCAGTTAGAAGACTAACCTTCTCATGCATGGGGCAGAGTCTGCTTTCTGAGGTTCTTACTTTTTTTCTGAGACTGAGTCTCACCATCACCCAGGCTGGAGTGCAGTGGTGCAATCTCAGCTCACTGCAACCTCTGCCTCCCGGGTTCAAGCGATTCTCCTACCTCAGCCTCCCTGGTAGCCGGGATTACAGGCGCCTGCCATCAAGCCCAGCTAATTTTTGCATTTTTAGTAGAGACAGGGTTTCTCCATGTTGGCCGGGCTGGTCTCCTGACCTCAAGTGATCTGCCTGCCTCGGCCTCCCAAAGTGTTGGGATTATGGGCGTGAGCCACCATGCCCGTCAGGCTCTTACTTTTTCTAAAAGTAAGCAGAAAGGTTGCCATGGGACTAATCTTCAATGAATAGAAAAAAAAAAAATAGTGTCTACAGTCCAGCATGTGATTTTAAACAAAATTATAGGTATAACTACCTTACTCTCTGAGTAGCCACTGGACTCTGAATTTGAGAGACAGAATTACTCCAGAGACCTGAAATTCATCAAGAGCTCACTGAATAGGTGAGTCCCAGTTCAGGGGTCAAGCTTTTGCTTCTCGGTTAAGTTGCTTTATTGGAACTGGATCACTTGTAGGCCATGTCTTACCACCTGCTATTCTTCCATTCTACAATTCTGCAGTGGCAGCTGGGCCTGGGAACCTGTCACCTCAGACTGTGGCCCCTAGCGAACACGTAGCTTAATGTTTAGCCAACACAGGGTGCGGCTCACATCTGCAAGACTGACAAGCGGGTTAGGAGAGGAACACTAATGAACGTACCTCAAATCCACCGATGATCAGCAGTGCGTTGATACTGTGCACGCGAATCTGCGTGGCGATCTCCTCCAGGTACTTTCCCGGGAGAACGCTGAAAACGGCCAAATTGAGAATGATGTCAGCCACCCCAAGCTCCAGGTGGTCCGCAGGACAGCACGCCGGGAACCCTGGGAAACCATGCTGCTCCCCACTCGGCCTCCCTCCCCAGCGTGTGGTTGTATGGAGCCGGGAACGTTTGCTGTTGCCATTTCACCCATGCTGTTGTGGCTGGCAGATGGCAGAATGACCAGGAATCTGACCTCAAAACAGTGTTTTCATGAGAAAATGAAATAAAGCATTTCCACTGATACCTCGACCTAAAAAGAACTCTACTTGCCGACTAGGAAAATAATAACAGCTATAATTATTAACAATTGTTTAAATGGGAATTTCCAGCTTCCAAATAACTTACACATGCAGTATCCACTACTGATCTCATTTAAAATCATATCTGCTCATATCTGCTCTCCCTCCCCCGTGCTATCACTGATGTCACATGACATGACCAAGAAGTCCAACACCAGACCGTGCCCCTCCCGAGATCCCATCCCAAACCCGCCCGAAGCTTCCGACTGGAGAAGCCCTTGTATACTCTAGGTAGATTTATAAGACGCCGTGGTGCAAAAATGTTCAGGCAATTGGAGCACACAGTGGATGCAGCTAACTGCAAAACCACGCCACTCCTAACGTGAGGTTTCTTAAGCCTCTGCAGGACCAGCCCAGAACAGCCAGCGAGTCTGCTCTAGGTTTTTGAGAGCAGCACCCTGGCCGGCAGCCGCAGGATGCACACCGAGGGATGCACCTGCCTCTAGTTGGAGCTTTCCTGTCCAGGGAGCTTTCTTGCTCTGTGACTCCCCACCAGTGGCTGGGAGTACCAGGGCCCCAGCTGTAAAGCAGCTGGGGGGGCAGCTAACTCCATTGGAACAAAAAGCCGGAATTATGAGGAATCCATCATTTATTTTATCTGCCAAAAACTATCTCCCTTCCATATTAGAATGTAATCTGTAGTGATGACAGATATTAATATTCGCACCCCTGACATGATCAAAGATGAGAAGAACTGAGACTTCATCTGTATTAGAAAACCCCATCATCCCCAGCGATGCCGGGACGTGGAGGCTTACTGCAGGTCAGAAAAAGACATTTTAGACTAGAATTCCTTGGGTCCCTTCTTGGGCTGTGGAAATCTGAGCCTTGGGTCACAGCCGCTCAGGGCAGCTGTTCCCACCAATGCTACCTGCCACCAAGACTGCTTCGGCTTTGCTCAGAGCGCGTCACCAGGCTCCGTGGCCCCCTCTGTTTTTGTTTGGAGACAGAGTCTCACTCCGTTGCCCGGGCTGGAGTGCAGTAGCACGATCTCCGCTCACTGCAACCTCTGCCTCCCCGGTTCAAGCAATTCTCCTGCCTCAGCCTCCCGGGTAGCTGGGATTACAGGCGCACACCGCCACACCCGGCTAATTTTTTGTATTTTAGTAGAGACAGGGTTTCCCACATTGCCCAGGCTGGTCTCAAACTCCTGATCTCAGGCGATCTGCCTGTCTCAGCCTCTCAAAGTGCTGGGATTACAGGCGTGAGCCACCGTGACTCCCTCACCTTTATTGACCTCCACGGGGAGGTTTAGGCCCACCAGTTGGCCCTTCAAATGAATGGAAATACAAGTGAGAGGAAGGTGTTCACCAGTTACCTCCTCATCTCTCTCAAGCCCTGGGATGCACCCCCAGCTCCCGGCAACATGAACAGTTCCACTGGAGGGAGGAGGGGTAATGGCCTGCACCCCTCCTTTAACGCCTTTACAGGAATCGAAAGTTGGAGTTGACATCCAGCGATTGTCCTCCAGGACATGGCTCTTCCTTCCTCCTTAGAAGCAGGTCGGAGAGTTGAGATTTGGAACTCACCGTTTTGTCCCGAGAATGGAGCCTCCCTGGCCAGTCCAGCCCCCGACGTCTGTCCAGCCGATTTCTTTGATCTAATGTGCAAACACAGAATGAAACAGCTAAAGCGAACAAAGAAAGGCAAGTTAGAAGGTGCTAAATAATTTTTTGTGCTTTTCAACAGGCTGCATTCCTGTAAAGATTCGTGAGGCGTATGAGACAGCTCTTAGAGCGATGCCTGGATCAATCAAGGCGAGAAGAGTCCGAAGTCAACAACTCATGAACAACAGCAGGGCGGCTGCTTCCTGCCTGCCGGGGCCTCTGCACCTCACCCCCCAGCCACGTGAGGTTCGTCAGCTCCCCAAATCCCGCCACTGGCCAGTAAAAGAAAAGTAACATGGTTTCTAAACTGGTAAAAGATTAAGGGAAAATTTCTTTTCTTACAAACTAGGGAGAAAAATAAGAAAACAGATAGATTACTAAGCAAACTGAGGTAACTGCAGAAAGAGGATGCCGCTGCGAGAACAGCACAGGCCGCGGGAGGAGAACCCGCGGGAGGAGAACCCGCGGGAGGAGAACCCTCGGGAGGAGAACCCGCGGGAGGAGAACCCTCGGGAGGAGAACCCGCGGGAGGAGAACCCTCGGGAGGAGAACCCGCGGGAGGAGAACCTGCGGGAGGAGAACCCTCGGGAGGAGAACCCGCGGGGCTTGAACCCCAGCTCCACAGCTTCCGATGACGAGATTCTGGGTAAGTTCACAGATCTGGTGGACGCACTGCTATGTTGCATGCAATCTTCAGGTAAATTACATTAGAAAAAAGATCATTCTATATCAAAAGGTAAATATTGTACAAGGTGTACACACACACAGATACACACACACACACACGATCTAAAATAAAGATCTCCAAGTTGACAGAACCATATAAATCGGTTTTGAAGGCAGTATTTCTCTAAAGTAAATAGCTGTTTTAGGCCAATTAATCTTCACAGGCCTGAACAACAAAGACAGGGAAAGCAGAATCTACCCAGGACAGAACAGTTCCTCATCCGGTTCTTGCTGCTGAGACGTGGGTGGCTGGGCCAGTGGAGAAAGGGCATCACCAGTGGTGGAAGGTGGATGGGTGGTTCCCAGGGATGCTGGCGGGTGTCTGCACCCTACCTGCCTGCCACTCCTCAGTCTCCTGGGTGGGGGTCTCCTCTTCCCACCCTACTCTATTTTTTCTTTATTTGAGACAGAATCTCACTCACACACCTGCATCCCCAGTCCCATCCTCACCCGGGGGACTCACACCTTCACCCCAGCATCTCCAGTCCCGTCCTCACCCGGGGGACACACATCTTCACCCCGGCATCTCCAGTCCCGTCCTCACCCGGGGGACACACCTTCACCCCGGCATCCCCAGTCCCGTCCTCACCGGGGGACACACATTCACCCTGGCATCCCCAGTCCCGTCCTCACCTGGGGGACACACACATTCACCCGGGCATCCCCAGTCCCGTCCTCACCTGGGGGGACACACACATTCACCC